AAAATAAAATGACTAGTTGTAATAAGTAATATAAATAAGTTGTACTTTCAGGTAGCTAATTAATGTTTCTCACAGGAAACATTTTTTCAAGGAAAGAATGTTTCTGAAGAGAGCATTGGTAATTGTTCAACTCAGTTTCTCCCCTTGCAGAGCTCATTCTTTGTCATGAAGCACTGTGAAAGTACTTATTTATTATGCTCTTTTGCCATTTGCAGAAAACATTTTAAGAATGACTGTTTTAAAATGACACCTGTATTTAGGCAAGACAAAAGCCTTAAATAAACTGATAATCTCTTGTCTATTTCTGGTTTACACTGGATGGTCATCATAGAAGCAAGATTTGAGTTTTCCACAGGCTTGTCTCATTACAGAAACAACAACACAAATTAGTACAATAAACTGTTTGCATTTTATGATAAGATAAAGAACTTTTCCTGAAAGTTTGTTTTTTGGGGAAAATATTCTGCAGTAATGATAATTCAGTGTTTGGTTATTTTCCTTCATTTGAACTGAGATGCAGGGATCTATTTAGATTTATTGCAGAACCAATTAACTCTCAACTTCTTTGAAATAAGAAAGCTGTGCTCATAGTGATATTGGTTAAACCAGCAAAACGTAGAAAAGTAGAACTTGTCCTGCTTTTAGCCTATGAACTGCCTTTTACAAGTCAATCAACATTTGACATGGAGAAGAGAGACAAATCTATTTTCATACCTGCTAATCCAATGCATAAATTGCGATCTATACTCTTGGTTCAAAACAAGACAAAGAATGGAGTATCAATGTACTGTTTTCCTCATGTGTAAAACACACTTCTGCTCCAATGGATATCAACTCACACTCAAAAGCAAACATTTTCTTTTTTACTTGAAATGCTTCCGTGGGCAGGCATGATTTCTAAAATGGTTTGAGTATTGTTCTCAAGTACTAATCCACAAAGACCAGAGCCTCTACTTTTGTGATGGTTAGAAGTAATTTCCATGAAGAAATACTCCTGTAGACACTTAACTTTTGAAATAACAACAATAAAACCTCAGAGAAAGTTTTGTGGTTTCTCCAAAACAAAAGGAAATTTTTTCCCCCCTTCCTCTCTCCCTCCTGCCTCCCCGGCATTCAGCTGCAATAGGGTATGCGCTCAACATGCTTTTCTCGCTTCACATATTAGTGAAGAAGTCCAACTACTTGTTATTTTCTATAAAAACTGAAAAGTTGCTTAAACAGGATTTACTCTAATTTCTCTCCAATTAAAACTGAATGCAAAGAGCTGAACGATCTTAATGAATGCAAACAGAGACAGCAAGGGTATTACATTACATTAAATACATTAAAAAGTATCTAGCTGTAATTTTAGCTTTTAAAACTCCACATTTTTATTTTTTTTCCCTACATTCACTGGACAACAGGAAAATTTCTTTACACGGACAAAGAAACAATATCATGGAAACAGAAAAGATATATACTTTTTTTGTTGTTTTTTGTTTTGTTTGTTTCATTCTATGCTTCAGCAAGACAACTGCAGCGTAGCAATTCAACATCACAATCCTTACTTTAGTTACTTCATGTCTCCATTTTCTTGCTTTACAACCTAACAAGCAGTGGAACTTTTTGTAAGTTGCTTTCCAGTGTAATTTGCCACATGACACTTTTTAGTCTTGTCATCTCTCCAGCTCTTGCTTGGATAGAGTCTATCAGACTGCTTCCCAGCTGGCAGTGCTGAGCACAGTGGAATCCAGGTCAATATTTGCTGGGTGCCAGTGCTGCATAATGAAGTTAGTTTTGTTTGTATATTGTAATTTCAGTTTTCTTCACCATATTTATTACAGTTTGAAAAGATAGTCATTTTCACTTTGTGGACTCTCAGTTCCTCAGCTGACTCATATAAGGAAGATTTGGGGAACAGAATGGTAAAAGGTGAGCACACATACTTTGCACTGAAAATATAAATGGGTTCTTCCCACTCAGGGGTTATATGAAGGGTTATCCTGCTATTCAGAAGGAACTGTGGAGTGGAAAGGTTATTTTGTGAGGTTAGGGCTTTCTTACTCCTTTCTCTTTCAGTAAAACAAAAACAAAGAAACTGTCAGCAGTCTCAAAACTGTGAAAAAAATAAAGCTATTCAGGTCAGTCTTGAGGAAGAAAGAAACATGAGATTGCTAGCAGTGCAACATAGATACAAGCAATTTCAATCTGATCTTCTATAGAGGCTAACAAAAATGCTAATTTAGAAACTGGTTCCACAATTTTGAAAGCTTCAGGTATCCCTCACAGGATTTTCTGTAACTAATGGAAGGGACAGGAAGTTTTTTTCAAACAAGGTTTTTAAAAATTATTATTAGTATTTTATTATTATTTTTTACAGCTAGCAGTTGAGCTCCATAAAGACAAGGACAAATAATAGTTCATATATTTTCCAAAAGCACTGTGAGTATTAAGAGCATTTTATTTGTTGCACAGCCTTTTGTTTGTGCCATCTAGAGTAAGAGTATTATTGATCATTGAAAATTTGTGAAACAGGAAAGAATAAACTTTTCCACCGTGGCTGAAAATGCCACTTCCAGCATTAACCTAAGTGCCCGACACTGATATTTACCACTGGAGCTATTTGTTAAATATAATGGGCAACATTTTTCAGTATATGCATGTGGAGATTCTATTGGTACCAGGGAGACCTAGGCTAAGCAAAAGAGAGTATTTGGCCTCAATTGGTAAATATTTCTTGGTAGTCTCTTTCTGTATATGGATACAGCCAAATAAGAGATAAATCAATGGGAAAAAAAACCTTTTCAGTCCTTTTATACATTGCCTAAATTGTGTATATTGTATAACTTGAAGGAAGTCTTCAGGATTCAAATATATATGAGCATCGTTGATAGTATGAGTTTTCACCAGTAGGTTTCAAAATGTAACTCAGGTATTTGGCAACTATGTGCCATTATTTGTGAATATTTTTCCAAGGGTTTTTGAGTTCGCTTAGACTAGAGGAATAATTTTTAAAAATGAAGTGGAATTTATGTTATTTTGCTCTCTCTTTTGGACACACATGGCTCTGCACAAAGATATCACTATTATGATGACATTGTTCAAAGAACTTAGAAAAATTCTAAGGATAAGGATAGCTGCACAGTGCTTGAATCTTCTGGATTAGGCAGTCTATTCCAAAAGATCTCAGTAGCAACTGGATTCTTAAATATCTTCAGAGAATTCAGTCTCACAGCTCTCCTGTCCAGCTCAGCAATGCATGCTGCTTGAGTGGGGCACATGATTGCCAATAAAACTATAGACTGAAGGCTGTCCAGTTGATCATAGGTAAGGTTAAAAACAAGGTTTGGAAGATTCTCTTAATGGTCATTCCTCTCTGTGATCTCTACTTTTTATTGACTTCCAAGTTATCTGTTTTTGGAAAACAAATTCCTTACAGCAGAGACACACGCTTTTCAGTGTATTAAACATAATACTTAAAGTATGGGTCAAATAACTAGTAATACCATGACATGATCTTCCTTCCATGTTCTGGACTGTAATCCCACTCAGTGGCCACGTGAACCAATTTTGTAAATTCAGTATTGTGTTTAAATCCCAGCAAAATTGCTTGAGTTATTCAAACATAAATCTTTCTAGGACTGAGGCCTAAGGCTATGTAGTCCCCAGGGCAGAAAAACTTCTTAGTTTGTCTTGTACACGACTGAATGCACTGTCAGACATAACAAATAAATAATGCAGTGGAAATTTCATTATACAAATCACAAGATTATTTTTACAAAAATATCATGTTCCCTTGTGGTTGAAACATTCCAGCCTAATTCAATCTTGAGTTTGCATTTCAACATTATGTATCATAGCATGGCCAAATACTGTGTAATTCATCCAATAGATTCTTCATATTTACCATTAACAACAGCATAGATTTCCAAGAACAGTATACAGATTTTACCATTTCTTTCCATGATTATAGTGACTGTAGTGCTACAACAGAAAATCTTTGCTTAATTTCAAATATTTCCTTTCTTCTTTCTAAGGATTATTGTGCATTTTGTCCTTCTAATTTTACACTGATAATATCTATTCCATATATTCAGTTGCATGTTAACCTGGAGTTAGTTACCATGCATTTTCCTGACTTGTGGTTGTATCCATGTATCTCTGCAGTAATACTTGAGATCAGCGTGGTAGTGACATCTTTTCCAGAGAAGCAAGAACTGCGAAGATCTGTAGATTTCAGTGTCTTTTAAGCATTTCTTACCCTGAACTAACAGAAATTCTGCCTACAGACTACTATAATATCACATCCTGTTGGAGAAGCCTCTCTGTCTGTTGCAAGGCAGAATCTGCTACAACAACGATCACCAACAGTTTGTCAAATTTATTCTAAAAAAGTTCAAACAGTGGAAATTCCACTCCCCTTCTGAAATAATGTGTGCAGCAGTCTTTAACGTTAGTTTTCCTTCACATCTAACCTGAATAATTCCTTTGTAATTAATTAAATGGTAGGTATTATATTCTATTTCTACACTGTGTTTTGTTCCCTTTTCTTCTCGTGCCAAACCTTTGAAATTCTTTATCGAGATCAGTGCTTCAGCAGTAAACAATGAGGTGGTTAAATGATAGATCATTCAATTCTCTGGAGTTTTAAGATCTGCACATTGAAATGTTTTGCCTTTCATCCCTTGCTTTAGTTTATTGGACAGAACTAAACATATGAGGACTCAATCCGCTCCTGTCTCCCGTTATAATAAACACTGATTTTCCTTGTCTGTGCTTAATTTCCAGATGTTAATTCCACTCATTCTGATAAAAAAAATTATTAAAAATTACATTAGTATTTTCATCCTTCTTTGGCTAGAGCTACTGGCATAACTTTTCTCTCAAGCGCTGTTTATCTGTGTTTGTGCTCCACAGCTTTCAGGGCTTCACTACTAGCTCTGTTACAATTCATTTAGTGAAGAAACAAGCAAAAGGAAAGAAAAGGAACAGAAAAAGGAGAAGTGCTTTTTTGCTGTGGCTCTAGAACCGAAAAAATCAAGTATTCGGTGGTGCAACTTACTAATGCTAAACTAATGCTAAAAAAAAGGCAAACATTACAATAACTTTAATTTTACCAACCTATTCCTCTTTCTGGTAGGTTGTCTGGAGAAGTTCCATGGGTAGTTTCTTTTCCTGTCCAGGCAGCAATTCTGTAAATCTTCCTGTACATCGCCTGCTTTCTTCTGCCATCTCCTGCACTGAAAGCTGGAAGCCCAGCACTCTGTAGTCTCCAACCATCTGATTTTTTTCAGCTGAGATTCATCATCTGTGCCTAGCTGAGGTGGATGCATTAGGTTGTCATGAAAGAAAAGATCAGTGCAACATTTGGGAAGCATTCAGGTGTATATATTTTAATTCAATCCCTCTTCCAGGACTAATGTATTCCTTCTGATTACATTCCTGACACGAATATTCCTGTAACTCCTTATTCATTTTTCACCTATCACATACTTCTTTCTTCCCCACTTCCACTATTACCCAAATTCTAGAAGGAGCCTACTGTTAGACTGCTCCTTCTGGGACCTGGTTGTCAACTTATAAACAATGAAACTAGTTACCAGACTTAAATGGTGGCACTGAGCGTGTTGTATATGCCATATTGATTGCTCAGTGAACAAAAGTCAGGAAATCTTTTTCTCTTAGGTATGTGCTACATTCTTCCTATGGATGCTACCTGCCATTTCTGATGAACTTCCTGGATTCAGTTTTTAAACGTGTCTGTTAATGAAATTATGATTATTGTCAACACTGTAAAACAAATACAAAACAAAAGCCTTCTGAAGAAAAACATGGAAAATACAAAACATAAAGGAACCTCCAGAAAAGTGACTTGCCTAATTAATAGGGCTAAGACAGCATCATCTAAGACAATGCCATTATAAAAAGCATTCACACTTTGGATAGGTTTGGAGGGAAAAGATATACCAGATTTCAATAATGTTTTGCTGAGAATAAACAGCAAACAGCAAAAATATCTAGTTTAAGAAACTAGTAAGACTTACTTCGAAAGCTGAAGGTTTCTTAGCAACAAAACCCTGTAACTAATGTGAAGCAGCTGTGGTAATTTTAGAAAATGGCTCAAACTGTTGAAAAGCCATTAGGAAGCTGATATATAGAGAATAAAAGGAACCACTCAGCTTTAAAAAGATTTCCCATTATGGAGTGTTATGTTATTTTATAACTAAATCTTAGTCATCCAAAGTTTACATGCCACAAAATGCTACTTATGACCATGTAGCTGGAATTTCATCACATACCTAAAATTCTCCTAGTAAAAAGAAAGTGCCGATGGCTGAGCGCATATTCTTTTGCAGTATAGGTGTGATTGCTGTATTTCAGTGAGGCTGATGCCACTTATGGTTTGATTTATTATATGCACTTGGAATGGGATCCTAAATAATTGGAATCAATTTCTCTAATCCTGTAACTCTCAGCCTCTATTGGAAATAATGAAAGCCACTTGCTTTTTGTAAACTTTGAATATGGTTGATTGTCAGACATTAGCTAACAATCCCTCTAACTTATCTGTTTTTTAATTTTAATTGGAAATATCCATTAGCCTGAAGAAGTTCATATTTTAAATACAGTATTTAGAGAGAAAAAAAAACCCCACAAAAACAGATGTGTGAGGAACAACAAATCTTACTGGTTTACTCTTCACACTGCTACTGACTACTGCATTAAAAATGGGTTTTAGTATTTCTATTTATTATACAATGGTCTCAAAAAGCCTAAAAATTTTGAGAAGCACGAATTAGTATTAGATAATAAGCACATCAACTAGCTTCAGCTAGATTCAAAGAAACTTAAATGCTTTCTTTAATAAAGGTCATGTTGGAAAAATAAGTAAAGTCAATTAAACTATATTGATTATGCAGAAACAGCAATACAAACTTCTGACTATGATGAGTTGGATGGGCCTCCAGATAAACCAGGGTTGACCTACATAACTGATCTGTGTGTGCAACGTGAAAAACTGTGCAATCTGGGCACATCAAAATTAATGTTTTTAAATCAAAATTTGCCATTGGGACTGACTGCACATGAGAAGACCTGTATTCAGACCCATTCACTTGTGCTGAAGTGTTCAACTCCCATTTAATTACAAAATTAGCCTTCACTGCTTTTTAGCAGAGATAACAAAAGGGATGTTTTTTTGATAGGATATTATATGAGACAAATAGAAATATATAGGCTGTGGTATTAAATGATAATTATTATAAAAGCATATATCTAGTCAGCTTTAGAAAAATTACATTTTTGAAATAATTGCAAAAAACCCCTGCCATTTCAGAAGGGTCAGATGATAATAACTTCAAGAACAAAGTTTGAACTCCAACAGACTCCAAGTAAGAAGGCCAAAGATTACAGTTACATACAAACAACAACAACACAACAAAAAATTTGGTACAAAATTTGTGATATTCAGTGGCTTTAAGTTGGACGGAAATTAGTTATGCTGGCAAAGTTTTACTTTTTATCTGTAAGCATTCTTAGAAATAAAATCCAACTCAACTAAACAAACAAAACCAATTTTTTGGGAATGTCCAAAGAACTCAAGCTATCGTGTGTCTGCTGTCAAGCTATTCATGTGTCTGAAGTAGAACATATCTTGAAATCTACCTATTCTTATTTTCCATTTCATGGGAATACGTTAAATAGATCTTCAGCTTCATGTTCCAAATTTCAGATCATGCATTATGTATTCATCATTAATGCCATTAATTACTTATTAAAAAAACCCTCATAAAATATCTGTTTTAAAATATGAATGCCGTAAAATGTACAGTGAAAAATTATTAGGCTCAAATTATCACTATAAAAGCTGTTTAAAATAATTCAAACTAATTTTTCTATATGTTTCCTCAAAATCTTCTTTTATTCTAGAATCCTTTTCTCTTTCTCCTTCACTAACATGCGATTTCCAACCTAGAAAAATAGACTGGCTTGGATTTTTCTTGAGCTCTGTGCTTGTGTCAGCTTTTATTTTACGCTGAGTTCAGTCATCTATCTTTTCACTTACCAATATAAATAATTATCATGAAGCGACAAAAACTAAAGCAAAGTCAGCATCCGTATTTTTTTGAATAGTCAGGCTCTTTGGAACATGTTCAGCAAAACACTTAGAGTCCTCAAGAAGAAAATCTGCAAATGCCTTGAAGCCCACTTCTGTGATATACAATACTAAATCATAGCAACAAGTACTTTAAACTGATATCCTTTCACAGACAGGAAACCATCTCAGGATGAAACTGTCATACTTGGCTGCTAATTAGCTAACTTCTGGAGTACTGCAATTTGAGAGTAATAATAGAATAAGAGGTCTCTTTCAGTATTCCTGAGTGATACATTGACTTGAAATTGTGCCAATGGCCTCATCACATGCTTTGGAAATGCATTCAGAATAGACTTGTTGATACCCTGTTTATATCATGTAATGAATTATTAATAGTAATTGTACAAGATACCCAGTCTAACATTCAGAATCTTTATTCACCCATAGGCTCAAACTTCATAAGATATTTTGCATCAGTGTGTACCTGTATGTGGTCCTTCTGCATCTTCAAGAGCTACTCTGAAAGTAGTCCCTCCTACTTTATGATGTTGGCCTATGACATCAAAGGTGGATGTTGGTAGTATGGCAGTAGAAGTTGAACCTTCCCATCAATATTCCATTGCATGCTGTTGCCGTGTGACAGATGGTGGCAGAGGGTCACTCTGATAGAATGGTGTCAGAAGCAAAGGTGTATCATTAAATTGCTCCATGTGGAAAGAATATCACCACTAACATTCATCAAAGCTTGATGAACATTTGCAGAGACCAGTCAGTGAATGTGAGCACAGCAAGGCAGTGAGTAGTGTGTTTCAGCTGTAGTGACAGTAGCCATCAGCAGTTACAAGTATGAGTATGTGAATAACTACTTTAATCTTTACTCTGTATTCATATAAAAAAAATTGCATCTATACAATATTAAAAATATTTATTTTTCACTAATATGTCTTTATGACCATATTACACACCTGACTTGCCTCTATTAATAGAGGGTCTGTTTTTTTGTGTTTAGCATCAGGAAGGGAGCCCCTGAATGGAAGATGGACTGAGTTCTCTCCTTAACAGTGTCCAAACATTTAATCATGTTCCTCAATTTTGACCAGTCCGAATGAGACTTTCAGGATGCCTTTTCTTTAACAAAAGATACAAAATATCTTGAGTAGTTTAATAAATGTATCCAGTTGACTTTCAGCTCTGTTTTAATACTCTGATTGTCTTAATTTGTAGATGGATAAAGTTATGAGACCTGTAATTCAAATAGAAGAGAGAATAAGCACTCCAGATCGACAATTTGATTAATATAAATAAGGATGAGTCTAGTTTAGTGCTTCATTTGTTCACATCAGCAATGATAAAAAACCAACATTAATGATGATACCAAAATGCTGAACTTTTAAAGGTCTAACAAATATTCTTGCACGTGCTGCAAAACAGCCCTGTTGACTCTTAAATATTAGGTGTGTTAGAGAAAAAGGGAATATAAAAGAGTAAAACTGGAAAGAATGAAACATGGTTAGCTGGGGTGGATTTCCTACAGCCTGATGACCAGTCCCTAGTTTTTAAAGAAAAATTTCATCAGTTTTATGAACTAAAACCAAGCATATGTGCAGTAAACATATATCAATGACTATTGTGGGAATTATCCCAGTGGCTGAAGAAAAAGTTCAGCATGTGAGAGTCTTGTTCCCAAATCTGTAGTACTTGTGAAGGGAAAACTGCAATCACCAGATCCTGATGGCATCACATTTAGGGAGAAAACTAAGAAAAAGAATCAATCAAATAGTCACAGCTTATGTTATGGTGTGCTCTGCATGTCAGGACTAATACTCTAAAATGGATCTGTTGGCACAGTAGTAAAATTACAAAGTAGTGTGTAGGAGATGAGAGGCTTCTTTATTCCTTCCAAGTATTAAGATGCATAGGGTGATGGTTTGAAAATTCAATCCTATTTATGAACAAAATCAACTCAAGACTATTAGTCCAGCAGGATAAGAGTAAGGAAGACAATGGCAAACTTCATACATATGATGAATACATAAATGAGGATTACTACTGCAGGAGTTGGATTTCCACCTTGAAAGCAACAGTATTCGTCTTTTCATCATGACTATGTTGAGTCTGAATGTTAGGCAGTTTAAATGCAGATATTAAAGAGACAGTTCACAAAGAATTAAATAAGAAAAAAAAAATAAGTGTGCCTCATAAAAATTGTGTTTGAAAGACCCAAACCTGTCACATTCCCTGTCAAAACAGATCTCTCCACCATATACGATTTCTTGATTTCTGTTTTCCAGAATCCATTGCAGAGCACTTCCACACATATTCACCACCAACACCAAAGACTGCTGCTAAGAATGAAAAAAACATGAGCCTCCATTTACTAAGGCTGACATGATTTGTCACTTCCTTCCCCTAGGACCTGCTTCCTGTAACTGTCTCTCCAGGTTACACCTTCTATCTTTACAGGCTCCTGCTCAGACCACTTGTTCTCTGCGGGAACATAGATATGTCCCCCATATAACTGTCTGCTACATTGCTAGGAATGGTAAGTTATTGTACAAAATTCTAGAGATTGAGTGAACAGTATGCATGGATACCTAGTACAGAAGTTGAAATCAATGTATTTGTGAGTTGATCTTCAATTTCTTGCATTGTTGGTCTACAGACTGCTAAACTGCTGCAAACAAAGTGCAAAGAATATGAACAAAAGAATAATTGATTTATTAAAAAAAAAAAACAAAACTGTTAACATTCAGGACATAAACCCTATTTCCAGCGGGATCATCCCTAAAATATTACATCTGAGTAAAAGATTATCATCTTCTGTTCTTGGAGAGAACTTCAGCTCAAAATCTGAGGAGCCAAACCTGCAATAAACTCTCGAAGTTTCTCCTTTTCTTGCAAGGTTTATTTAATGAGTGAGACATTTTCTTTCTTTTTTTTTTTTTTCCAAAATGTTTTCCTTTATGTGCTACTCAACTAACTATCTAAAGTAAATCTACTTCATATACATAGCCACTTGAAGGAGGAAATCTTTTAAAATCAATTAATTTCACTTTTTGAAAATAATTGCACTGTTACATTTCTTAGTATAACAAAAATAAAGCAGAGGGTTGTTTTTTTGGGGGGGAACCAACTTCGCAATGCTTAAAGATACATAAAAGGATAGCCTAGGGCTTTTATGATGTAGAAGTAAAAATTAATAGCTAAGTGGTATGCTATACTTTGTCTAAAAAAGCTCATTTAATTTTATGGCATGAGGATTGCATCTGTTTTCTTTTTTCCAGTGATATTTTACAAAGGTTTGGTCCACAGATTTCAAAGCCATTCATATAACACAAAAAGACTTTAAAAACACGTAAAGAGCTATTGTGAAAAAAGAATAATGAATTTCCTAATGCTCTCCAGTAAGTATCCAGTATATTACTGGGAGATCCTTCATCATAGAGGGTGGTCTGCTGGTAATGTACAAAAAAGGATAGTGTACAAAAATTAAATTATTTGACCTTGCATCATTATCTGCCACATAACTACTTAAAGCACACTTCAACAATGTACTCTTAATGTGCCGTCTGTTACTTGCATGACTCATTCATCTTTCACAAAGAATAAGTGATTTGTATTAGGAGAGAGTTGCTAAGGATGTTTTTGGGGCTAGCAATTGCTGTCATTGCTATGTTAAATCACAGGCCCAAGCCTGGGACAGAAAGAGACAGGCTTATCATGAGCCAGGAAAACAGCACCACAGGACTGATAGCTCTGACTTAGGGCCTTGTTTAAAAAGTTATGACTCAGTGCAAGCAGCCAAGGATCCTTAGCCTTCCTCAGTTCACTCCAAAGCAGCCATTAAGAGCCTAATGTTCAGGTTGCGTGTCTCATTCTGATTATTTTTGGGAAGTCGATCACAGCAAGCCCTTTTTTCCTAATAAGCATTCATCTTCATTTACTGAATGAAGGGCGCTCAGTGAAAGCTCTATACATGGGACAGGATAACAGTCATTTCTGCCAAGCTCTGCAACTGTACGGGTGCATGGATTGTGAGACTCTTTCTTGGTGTTGTTAAGCAAAAAGCACATATCATAATAGCTTTTCCAGATACAAGTACAAGCAAAGTATATATACGAATAATTCATGAGGGGATGCAGCCCTTTGATTTAAATCTGAAATTAGCATTGCTATAACTTCATCGTAAAAGTACATACAATATAGGATTATATTATGCAGCAGTAACAAAACTGTGGAAACATCAAGATAGATTTCCATGCTTTTTCTTACTGCTGCATACTTACAGCCAGACTTCTTTAGCTGCATGCACTCAATTTGACAAGGCACGCAGAGAGAATATACATTATGTTTAACACACAGTGAAATTGACCTTAGATAACTTGCATATGCTTAAGTATGCCATTATTTTAAACCCCTTGAAAATAGTGAGAATAAGTTTTCTTTTCTTGATTTCTCATTCAGTAGTACTGTGAGATGTCTAAATAAGCCAGCATAAATTTGATAGGAAGAGGTAACAGATGAGGAGATAAAATTCCATTTTTTCTTGGGAATAAGAAAGCTTTTTCTGAAGTTATTAAAGATGGAAGGAAAGACTGACATTTTGTCAAGAAAGAAAATACCACAGATAAAAAATACTCCATGTTTGCTGCATGATTTATTTACTCTCATACAAAAATGGAACATTCACATGACACCTAATAATATGAAGAACATCACTAAGTCATTTTAAAATAAGTCAATTTTAACTACTTGAAATACTTAAATTCAAAGCCTCATGGTCAATCTTGCCCACCTTCTACCTTCATGTGTCATCATATTTTGCAATTCTCTTCCTAGCTCTAAGATGCCTTCTTTACTTTTCTGAAGTGTTATCTGCACTGATTTTGCAGATAACGGGGGAATTTCAGCATCAGCCCCCCGGGTCCTCACCACAGTTGAGCTCTTACTAGCACTGAGGTGGTTCCTGTGTTGCAAACTACGCTCCCTTCAGATAAAGCTAATCCTGGAAGATATGCAGCTCCAAATGGGCAGTCAGAGAAGGAGACCAGACCTGAAACCATATAAAGAAAAATAAAAGCACCACACTGCTTGGTGTCATCTGCAAACTTGCTGAGGGTGCACTTGATCCCTCTGTTGATGTCACTGATGAAAATGTTAAAGAGTACAAGTCTCAGTATTGACTCTCGAGGGACATCACCTGTCACTGATCTCCAACCAGACATTGAGCCACTGACCATCACTATCTGGGTATGCCCTTGCAACCAGTTATTTGTTCATTGAATGGTCCACCCATCAAATCCATATCTTTTCAATTTGAAGGGAAGGATATTGTGGGGTACTGTGTCAAAGGCCTTACTGAAGCCTACATAGATGACATCAGTGACTTTTTCTTGTCCACTGATGCAATCACAGCATCATACAAAGCAGTGAGGTCAGTCAGGCAGGATCTGCCCCTGATGAGGTCATGCTGTTTATCTCATATCACCTCCCTGTCTTCTATGTGCCTTAGCATAGCTTCCAGGAGGATCTGCTCCATGATCTACCCCAGCACAGAGGTGAGACCAACAGGTCAATAATTCTGTAAGTCTTCCTCTCTACCTTTCTTAAAAGTAGTTATGACACTGACTTTTTTCCAGTCACCAGGGACTTCACCTGACTGCCATGACTTTTCAAATATAAGAGAGAATGTAGAATATAGAATATAATAGAGAATGCCTTGGTGATTACATCAGCCCTCAGGACCCCGGGGTACATCTCATCAGGACCTATATACATATGGGCCTTCAGGTTCATCTGGTGACCATTAATATGGTCTTTGCTTTGAGTGGGATGGGCATCATTCCACCAGTTCCCATCTACCAAACCATCCACTTGAGGGCTGTGTGTACAGCTGTGTGTACATAACAAGATTACCTATGGAGCAATAAAGCTTATAAGTTATGTGTACTGTGTTCCAAATCTTGGCAATTAAACAAATGCTTTATGCTAGTGTTTACTATGAAACACAAAAGCATGAAATCATGGTCACTTTTCAACACATTCTTCATCCAGATACTAAGTAGGTTAGATGAATTAGAAGACATGACATTGAATGGTCTAGAGTTAAACTCCTTAACCCACACTGATAACACTGTACAGTATCAGACATTCAAATAAATGATACTCTTCATTACATTGGACACTGGTCAATTCAGACTCATAAATGCCAAGATGACAAAGTAGTTGAACCTCAATAAAATAATAAACAGTTACTGCGTTGAAATGCACACATGGTGAGGCTGTAAGCAAGTTCCTACGTAAGTTTACCAGCATCAAGCACCAATGATTCCTTACAAACTGTGAGCAGTTACATTAAAGAAAACAATGACAAAGAAAAGGAACTTTCCTGAAAGATATAAAATAGAATGATTTGAGACCCACTAGTTAGAGTGCAATCCACTTGTTAGACTGGAGTTTCTTATAAACTACAATAAATTAACAATCTGGAAGCTGTTGTTAGACTATTAGATGACTTAATTTACACAACATTTTTGAGTTAGACACTGAAGGACAGATTTCTTTTTAGTCTTCCTGTTTATAGATGCTAAGAAAAAGCATACTAAACTACTGTGGGCATTTCAGGCTTTTGCTAGCTGGTCCTCCCTCTTCTGTTCCTGAACTTTCTTCATGCCTGAATTCTTTCTCTTCCAGTTTTCTGCAGAAGATGTCTTTATTCACAACAGTAGGAACTCCATGGAAACTGTTCCAAATGTAATGGAAACTCTCTTTTGCAACACAGACTTTGAAATAACCTGAAGCAGGTTCTGACATCAGACATTTGAAGGTCTGGCTGCTGAAGTTCACAGATATATTATCAGATTGCAGAGCAAAATAAAATTGTCTTTAACCTCAAGAAAAGAGAAGGTGGATGTACACAAGTCTAGGGAACATCCTGAGGATTTCTGTTTTAATCTATTCTGATATTGATGCAGAAATGGTGCATGTTACAGATGTTTAATTGCATCTGGGGAAACATTCATTACAAGTATCATTCATGCCACACTTTATCTATTCCTCTGCTGCACATCTGTGCATGTAGTGGTAATGTGAGAAACTCTCACTACCAGCCTTTTAAATTTTACCATGCCCTCTTTCTAAAAGTGTGCTAAATTAGATACAGAAACAAAGAAACACACCTAAATAAACAAAGGAACATAAGGAACAAGCTGCGCTGCACGGCCAGAAGGAGCAGGTGGAATTGTAAGTTTAAGGAACCATTAAGCACTGTGAACTGTTTCAGTGTGACACAATTACTGGAACACCTGGCTCAAATAAATTAGGATTAATCCATTGGGGGTGTTCTTTACAGTCTACTCTGGCCCCAGAGTGGTTTGACCCTAACCTGTAATTCTGAACCAAAAAAAGAACAAATTACAAGGAAAAGCTTACCAGTTCAGGTGGCTGTCATCAAGGTAATCCATTGCTGTGAAATGGACTACAGAAAAAGGCAGGGGAGAAATATGTGTAAGGACAGGTTTTCATGGACTACTCCAACAAGTATATTCATTTAGTTAGCATGTGAAGTGAATGTAAGTCAGTATGGTTTGCTCAAAGGAAATAGAACCACTTTAAATCAATATCAGGACCAACACTGGCCTTGGTCTTGTTTGTGTTCGCAAGATAATTTTAAGTCAAATTCACTGGTTGTAAAACTGAAGTATCTTTTCTATTCCTGGCTTCTTCTTTTCCCTGTCATCTGATTATTATACAGCCATTGTAACTTTCCAGCTGCAAATACTGAGATCAAAGGATAAGCTGTTGCCAAAAGCTGTTTCTAAACAAACCATTAAGATGTTTTGCTCTACAATTGCAGCTCTAGGTGTCTGAAATGTTTTACACCCACCGAGAAGCCAAAGATTCAATTGCAAATAATGGAAACTACTGTCACAGATAGCTCAGTGCCCATTCTCAGCTAAGACAAAAAGGTATATTTTGAGCGCAAAAGTGTTAACTGCTATGTACTAGCACTGAGACTTGTAGAAAATCTCATTGCTGTTGAGAAATGTGAGTCAGGATTTATTTTTCTCTATGTATTATGTCCCTATACGGAAAGATTGCAATAGCAGGGCAACTATGTGAAAGATGAGCAGTATGTTTGTTATCTACGCTAAATTTTATGCAAATTCACTTATCTTTGAGGGTTTATTCCTGGAATACTATGCCAAATATTTGGAGTCAGATTCTTACTGGGGTTCTCCCTCACACTAAATGTGTCCACTTTATAACAATTTTTAGCAGACGGCATGTTGGTTCTCCTAACAAAAGCTAGCTCTTCTATTAGAAATATGTAAAAGCACACATGAACGGATTTATGAATCAAAATTAAAGTGAAGATTGTCTGATTTGCAATGCAGAGCTACATACTCTTAAGTAGCTTCTATTTGTAATGTTGCAGGACTTTCTACATATGGGTCACATCTAAATCCTGTGTATCAGAAATATTTTCATTTAAACTTTATAAACTGGCACTAACACATGTAAATTGTGGTCTAGATAAATATTCTCTAGAAATTGAAGTGAATCTGGCTCCTACTGACAAGATAAGACTAACAACACCAAACTTAAGACTGCTACTGGAGATGTGATATAAGTAGGTTTTTAAATCAGGACTGATGTTTCTGCTCCTTTCCAATGAAAACTGCTAGATCCTTGCCTGCAAGTGCATGAACTTCTGAAGTATTTCATGTCAGGTAAATGCAGGATTTAGGTTCTTGGCTTACCATTTAGATTTTCTACTTTGTGATCCCTAAGATAATCTTCTACTGTTCATCCCTTCATAAACAAGTGTTCAAAGGACTGCACTTTGGAACAAGGATTATTTAACTTTAGGTTCTGCTTCCATGTAAGAGGATGGTTTGTCCCACAACCTTGCCTATGTTTCAGCGCTCTTAAGCCTGAAACACATTCTAACCTTTCTAAAAAGAATAATCAGATCCTGCTAAGAAAAGCTCTTTTTTTTTTTTTTTTTTCCCTTTTGGCTTGAAGTACAGGGTGTATTAACACTGTTTCACGTGGCAGTTTGCTCTTTTTTTTAAACTACCATTCAGTGTCCTGAAAGTACTACAACTCAGTTGTATTAGGTGACTTTCCACACAGATGAGGATAAATTTCAGATTATCTGTTTGCAGAAGGAGAGAAATTACTGCCTAAATCCAACCGGGATGAGAACCCTTGTAAAATGGAGGAACTCTTGTTTTAAAAGGCCCTTTGTTTTAAATGCTGGCATTGTTATTAAACAGGTTGAATTTACAGCCTTTGAATTTCCTTAGATATATCAGAATTTTATAAATGAGATTCAGTATGTTTCTAGACATTCTTGCAGTTGCTTCTTAAGATCTCTACATATTGTTTATCAAAGAAAGCTCAATTTCATGTGTATCTGCCAATGCACTTATGCTTTCTGAAACTGGGAAAATGATAGTGTCTCTCTGTAAGTTTCTAGAGTTTTTTTTAAGTAGTTCATTTTGGCATTTTTATTTTTATTATTTTAGGTAAGACAAGTCACTACGTAATGAGTTCAGGGTGGTTAATCACCATTAAAAAAAAAAAAAAAAGAGATCAGACATTTTTGGTATCCCTTCCCTGGAGCTTCTTCAAACACAAGCTGAGCAACCATTTTCAGGAACAGCACAGCTAGAGCTGGTCACGGAGTGAGAGACAGGCAGAGTGACTTAATCCTCCTTCCCAGTTTATTTTTTCTGTCTTAACAGCTATGATTTGTCCCTTTTACTGGTAATAGCTGTCTATAAAGCATTCTATCCGATTTTTCATTGTTGAAGAGGCTAATCTTACTTAATTATAGCCAGTGGAACAAGAGCAGAGACTATTTTATGTTGTCTGTATACACAAATTCCAGTAACTCTAGTAAATTCCAGCAGAATGTAATTTGCACACAGAGGGGCAAGACTGGGGCTCTAAGTATTTTTTACATTAACATATTTTCTCAGTCTTTTCCCCCTGAAACCAAGACAGTAAAATGTATGGTAGATACAAATACTAATGTTTGTTCAGAAAGGCGAGCAGTAAACCTTTAACAAATAATATCACTGTAATCCTTAAATAGTAATTGTACTGCCTAGGGCATCCGATAAAGGATTCTAGTGTTCTTTCAATATTGTGTCAGGCAGATGCATCAATCAAACTCTATAATGGACTAAATTGGGAAACAGGGTACTGGGAATAAACAGTTCCAAAAAGAGGTGAAGCTTTGTGACATGCAGCCTTAACAGACCAATCTTGATTCTAAACATAGAAGCAATTTTAGGGCTTCTCTGAAGGCAAAGGACAATTATTGCCTAAACAAATAAACTAGTGTCTTTGTACCTCAGGCATTCGCTAAAGTTAGTCTGAAACAGTTTTGAGATCTGACTAGTGGAGTTTTAGGGAGACTGTATCCTGACCCATTAACTTTCACTGAACTGTATATGAATATCCTCATAGATAATCCATAAACTAAACTGGAATAGAATGAGAAAACTGGAATTTGTTATGATTTTAGCACTAATTCTGCTGCCAACAAAAATAACTAGGTCTTAACTAAGATTGACTATATGTCAGCCTTTGAATTTGAATCTTCATGAACACCGCACGCTTAAAGTTCTTAAGTTCAATAAGAGACCTGAACTTCAGCCTCTATTTGAAATGTTTATTTAAATCTGTATTGCAAGCTGGCAGCAAATTTGACTGCTAGGGAAAAAAATAAAATAAAATGAGGGCTAATCCAGTCATTTATATTCTATTATGCAGACTGCCACAAATTGAGCCTGGAGTCCATAACCTACAGATTTGCGCCTGCATTCATGCTTTCACCCTATACTGAATGGTACCAACCTAAAACAGAAGAAAAAAAAACCAAAACAACAAGCTTCAAGAGTTCTTCCTGCATGGATTGTGATTATTCAGACTCTGAGAACAATTTTAAATGTCAGAAGAGCTTACGTATCTCTAGCCTCTATTTTTAGACAGGTTGGATTTTGCTCAGTCTCCCTTAAGGTTAGCTGAAGAGATTTTTTTCTGTAAGGATTAACTAAGAAAAAATTCAGATGCTGTTTACAAGAATGATCGGCAAAGTCTTCTTGACATGATTTGAAGAAAGAGTCACGTCGTACCACCAGCCTGTGATTTTGCATCTAATGCATTTTTACTTCAAGAACAAAATTAAGTCAGTGTGCACAGTGGAGCAAATGCTCCAGTGATATGATTTAGTGCTTTTGCAACTGAAAAAAATCTCTCTAATAATGAATTGCTGAGTCCTGAAGTTCTTTATCAGAATAATTTTAAACCTACCCTCAACACAGTGTATCCCCTTGTTTATGCATTTACATCTGCCTAGAGAGAGCCTGCTCAGTCTTCTCATAGTATTATTTCCCACAGATATGGCCTTAGATTTGATGTACTCAAACAATACAGATTAAAAAAAACCAAACAAACATATATCTTTCCCCATTCCCTCTATTCATTCCTGGACTGTGGGTAAGTGGTTAAATATTATGTTTTAGATTTTCTAATATTTTTTTCCTTGACTGCTAATCCAAGCACAATGCTGCTCTCTTGGAAGTTTTTTTTTTTTGTGTATGTGTATTTTTTTTTTCTAGTGACCACAGTGTGAGTTCCTTTTTTCTTAGTTTTCTTAGTTACCCTACAGTGTTTCTTCTGTCCTTCAGCAGTTCAGTTACTAAGTCATGGTAGCTGTTTTGTAAATAAAAAAAAAATTCAAGCTTCCTTTTATTTTTTTTCCTCTTTCTTTTTATTTTATTTAGTTTTTTTTTGTTTTGTTTTGTTTGTTTAGTTTTATTTTCTTATCAGCATTCCTCTGGCACATCAGATGTGCATCCTCCTGCTGCTCATTCTTTCTGTACATCTGATCATACCTTCTTTGTCATCATTCTGACAGTCTAAAAATCTATTCACGTGACTAGGTTGAGGGGATATCACTTACAGGAATGAACACCATTTCTGTACAGTGAACATCTGCTTTTGTTCCCTTCTCTTTCAAATAAATAATTTTGAATCTAGTGGTGATTTCCAGTCCCCCCCCCCCCCCATGAAAATATCTACTCACACTGAAACTGGAAAGGATCACCCTATACCAGAATTAGGTAGGCAGCAAAATACCTAAGATTTGAAACGCAGCCCTAGTAGCTCAAAACAGAATCCACATAACACATTATCCTGTCTCCAGAGGTCAAAACCAGAATTGTCAAAATAAAATGAAAATGGGTAAGTTTAGGTGTTACTTCCTACTACTTCCTCACTCATTCGTAACTCACTAAGTAGCTCAGTTCAATTCAGAAGATGTAAAATTTGTAATAGAGCATATAGCAAAGTTTTCACAAAAGAAAATATCCAGTATTTGAAGCAATATTTTCCATATTGTTATAAAAAGTTCATGCACTTCTGATGTAACCTCCTATATTTAAGTCTTCCATCAACACAAAACGAGAAAAGTCAGCAACTCAAGTAATTTGTCTGTAGGCTAACATACCATTTGATTTAATAATCCATACATTTGATATTTTCTAAACTGTTACTTACAGATGAGCAAAGCTGTAGCTATACAAAAAAAACTTGTTAATTTGGAAGTAGTTCTGAACAGTCCAGAGCTACTTCAAAATTAACATTTCACATATTGCATTGACATTTCACAGTGCATGAAGGTACAAATGCATGTACCAATTGGGAAGAAAAGAGCTTGCCTCTTGATCTTCTCAAGTCTTTTTAATGAAAAGTAGGCTTGGTCCAATTTTATTTGCTATTGTCTGTTCACCCCTCACATTAGTTGTTGTAATATAATAGTACATAGAACCATTAAAGAATAACATGAATAGGTAGCAGCATTGTACTTCCGTGTGTATGGCTTGCCTTTCCTTCTTTGTAGACAGTACTTAATATTGTATTAACATCCAATGAAGTGTTATTGCAGCACGATGAAAAGTCCTCTGCTGCTTGGAAAAAGTAGAGCTAAGGAATGCTTTGTGAATTTAAAAGTTAGAGTTGGTGTTAATTCTCTTAAAGCATACATCTGATGTGTGTTGATACTTTTGACCAGTTATTTAATTGATCTGACATGAAAAAGGTTAACATTTCCTCCTAATACACAATCACTTAAATCTTTCACATAGCTATGCAGAGCAAGCAGCCTGGGGAACTTTATGGCAAAGTCATAGTCAGTGCCAGACTGATAAAGCATTTTGCATTTGTCAGTTACTAGAGAAAAACTGGGTAGTAGTATATAAATCAAATTCAATATTTTGGCCTCAAAACACAGAATGGATTAAATCACAACACTTTCTCCCTCCCACCTCCTCCCCCCAAAAAAAAGAACACAATTAAAGGGATTTTGACAAAGATTAAACAGGAGTGATATCTCACACATTATAATGCATCTCTATTTCAGAAGCATATGGCCTATGGAGATTACATGCTCTGTTACAGTTGAATCTTGCTTTTCTCTTACACACTTTTGTCCTTGAAAAATCTTGTAGTGGCCACTAAATGAAGTGGCGGATTACATACTTATGTTCAATGTGCATCCTTGTAGTTTCTCTAGCTCTCATTTTTCTTTAAAACTGTCAGTTCTGAAACACTTCCAAGTAATTCCTGACAAATCCTGAAAATTATCAGGTTGATTCTTTTTTTTTAAACTCACTTTTAAGCTAGTTTTCTGACAATCAGCCTCACATGTTAATGCGAATCTATGCATTATAAGCTGCAAATTGAGGATTAATTTTCCACTTGACAGAGAACCCACATTTCACAAATAAACTGTCTGACTGCAGACAGTATTTTTTGTCTTTTATTATTAAAACTTTTATTATTTTATTGTTAAAAGCCTATCTCCACAAGACAATACATTTTAAGGGACAGCTGTATCTACAGCCACCAAGCTGCTATTGAATGGAATAGGCTTCATTTTCAAATACTCTACAAATGTGATAAAGGCATCCCAGTATCAAGTACAAGCTAGATTCCTCAGCAGAAAAAAGATGGAACAACAACAAAAAAAGAGATAGAATTGCTAGAGTTTAGAAACTTTCTTCACTTTGTCCACAAAATGTTTTTCCCTTCACAGCCCACACAGGCCTACATACCTTCATTTTCTACAATAAAGAGCAGAGATACATAGAAGAGGCAATGCTATTTCCCTCCAGTCTGTTGCCAGTAGGAACTAAAGAAGGGTAACAACGTATATGAGTACCTAATTACAGAGGGCATCAGAATGCAACCTGCAACACAATGAAATGTCCAATTATGACAAGAGAGCAACAAGGTCCCAGGCTACAGAAAGAGAAAATTTGCTTAAATACAACAGCAGGCAAGAAATAAGGAAAAGAAGATACTTACCTCCAGAATGCCTCAGGTACAGAGGGACCTCCAAAAAGATACCTTTGCCTCCGCTACCAGCCCTTAAATGAGGACTGGGAAGGGGTGGATCCTGGCTCCACCCCTTTTGGTCACTCAGGCACATTGCATGCACCTGAGCTCCCTTGGGTTGGTCCTGCCTTCTTACTAGTGCTCTATCACTGGTTCAAGCCTTGACTCAGCATTTGCACTACAAACCACATAAAGGAAAAAAAATTATACATGTGAATGCATTTCTTAAATATCCATTAGATTAACTTTACAGTATTAACATTCTGCCTGTTGAAGCAGATTTTTTGGGTAGGACGTGAACTGAGAAAATCAGCTATTTATTCAAGCGTAATTCAACAGCACATGGGTTCAAGAGCATAATGACCTAATTACCTGAGCTAAGTAACCAGGGAATAACTAAAGACACCCCTTTTCTGTTTGTATATAGTGTTACTGCAGAAATACGTGCAAAGCAGCTGAGTAAATTTTAAAACTTTGTATTTCATGGCAGAATTGGCAGCTCAGCTGTAGGTAGTAGAATTATTTTCTGGATACTCTATAGGCTGCAGGGCCACATCCAAGGTCCTCTCAACCAATATACACAGAAGCTGAGCAGCTAGAGGTATTGGGGCAGCTCTAGACTTAGGTCCAGGGCCTGTCTATGGAGACAGGGCTAGGCTGAAGTTAAGCTGGGACATGAGTCTGTGGGGCTACAGGGAGCTGGAGACTAGTAGTCCCACTGCAGCATCACTGGGGCAGGGAGTAAGAGCCCTGAGGGCTGACATGAGGCTATGGCCCCTGGGCACTGTTGGGGAAGACTTAGGAAGCAGACAGGTCCATTGTGACCCTGTGGAGATGACAGTTAAATTGACCCTTACCCCAGCTGAGCAACAATTTTTCGGTTCACACACCCTTGACTCTTCCCATCAAATCCTTCATCTTCCTCTGCTACTGCTTTTTTTTTCAATATCCTGGAACATTTATTTTCTCAGTTATACATTGTGTCTAGCTCTTGTATTATTTTGTTTTCTTTGCTTACTTCTTTGCTATTTTTATCCAATTATCGTTCCCATTCTTTTCATTTTGTCTTCTTCCATCCCAGATCCATGCAAGCAGTGCGTGTCCAAGGTTACAGGACTTGGGAGACAAAAGTAGGATCACTGACAGCATATACTTGCTGTTGGTAATTCTCCGCTTTTTTTGACCCTGATACATTGGTTGTACAGACAGACCAGACTAACAGCTTTAATCCTGTTGTCAGACAGCTGGCTTTTCTCAGTTCACTCATCCTTTACAAATTACTCAAGGCATAGTGAATCCTCTGTTAACTTTCATGGAGGGGCTTGGCCTGCTCAGGAAGTCTTCACGTTAGCAAGTATAGATCCAAGTGTGGATCCAGGTAGTTAACACATACACATTTTAGGAGAGTTTATCTCAGACTGGTTCTAATCAATGAAGTGAGGAGAGCCCTAGAGGAGATGGAAACCTCTCCTTCGTGGAAGCACAGGTATTTTCCTTCATCTTTTATAATGACTGGTGCCACATTCAAACCCTCTGTCTTCATCTGAAGCAGAAAACAAAGCTTGGAACTATGTACTGTGATGGAACATATTCTACAAGAGCAGGAGAAAGCACTGCATTCCTGAATTGCCTCATTCATCCATGTGCTTACAAGCCCCAGATTTGTAAAGGTTGAAAACGGAATGGAAAACATTGCCTTTTCATCCTTTCCATCCAGAAGATTGGGTTGGAGGTGGTAACCAAAGGCAAGCAGAGTGGGAAGTAGTGAAAACATTTGAGATAGGTAGGTCTGCGTACTACGGTGAGCAAGCTCTTCTTTGCCTCTGCCTAATTCCAGCTTCTGATATATGCTCCCATTTTCAAGACACATGACTTAAGTCTCTGAGGCCCACTTTGTTGAGGTGGTAAATGCTTTCAACTGCTCCTGAAGCTGAAAGGAGTTCCTCTGTGAAGGTGCAAGTTGCGAAGAATGTTACTAGCCTTACCTTAATATGTGCAGAAAACTTTAGGTAGATTATTCTTACATGCAGCAGCTGTTCATGCATTTTCCTTAAAATCTAGTAGGTGAGAACAAAATATTTTAGTTTAGCAAGTCAGATGCAATATCTTATTGGAAATATATTTAGATTTTTTTTCTCCTTTCTTAACATGTTCTTGCGGGCTGAAGTCTGCAGCCAGACTCTGTTCTTCAACATTGTTCTCAGGGATCGTGTAAGGAAACAAGCTCTTACTATTGTTTTGCTCAGACAGTTTGGGCTACGGAGGAGGATGGGAATATTAAGATTATGAACTACAGCTGCCCAAGATAGTATGGTAGTATTTCATTACTGAAGTATTTTAATTGTGAGCCAAAATATTTCAGATTTTGTTTACTTTTGTAGTTGAAATTTTCCACTGTTTAATTTCTTTAAATAACAGTCCGGCTATGTAGTCTGAAAATGGCCTTAGGTATCTCACACTGGACATCCAAAATTAATGAAGATATTTTTCCACAGTCTCCTCAAGTTAGTTACTGGTTTTAACAATAGGCATAATAATAGAACTTAACCATTACAACAAAAATGTCAAAATATGGAAATACAGAAATACAAGATCTTAGAAAAAATTGTTGTTAAAATATAAGTGTGTTCAGATAAGATTGTTGGAGGATCATAATTCTGAATTAAACAATTTTGGTTGGAATGTTTGTTGGTATTCTCTAAAACCTTGAGTTCACATTATAGATATGTTTTAGGATCTAGTGAATCTACTTTAAGAACGTTGCAAATATTGACAAGAATAAAAATGTGATTTCTGAAAACATTACTCAGCATCTTGATTGAAGAGTTCTCTTTTTAATAAACAAATAAAATTTTCAACCTGCTTCTTGTACTGAGACACAGTTGTTATTCACATACATGATACTACAGTACTTACTATCAGCAAGTAAGTTGGCTTTCACTGCTTCCATGCCAGTGGTGTGGAGGAAGGAAAAGTGTTTTTACCTTACCTATACAACTATAACCTTCAGATTCCTAGTGATGTTGGATCAGAAATATTCACTTCTCTTCTGTAGGATACTAAGCTGTTCACAGTGAGATGGTGTCAGATTTGCATCACAGAGGAAATCACATTGAGTTCCTATGAGTTCATGGGTCATGTCATACCTGCTCATAATAATCCAACCAGGATATCATATCCTTATGACTCAAAAACTTAAAAGTTTTGTGATGACAAAATTGTCAGCTTTGGAAACATCGCTCTTTTTGAACAGTAGCACAAGCTTAACCAATACTGTGGTGTATTGATGACATACTGCTTTGTCAGAATTACTTTAAATGTGTCTACAAGGGATCTTTACTGTACGTGTTTACAGTGCTTGTTCCTTGTCAATTGCAGGAGACACTATGACTCAGTAGGCTCTTGCACAGATTTTATAGGATGTCAGAACAAAATGATTTTTTATTGAGGAAGGGTCAAATGAGTTGTGCTTTTTGTTGTATCACACTAAACAATATAAGAAGCATGTTAAAAAAGCTCTGGACTCTCACTGGAAGGCAAAGGCTATGATAAATGATTTAAAGCTACATTATCCTGTTTCTAATTCCTTTTCTTTCTTCCTGCGGAAATGTAATTGCAAGAGGCTGGGAGAAGGGATTGGAGCATTGGCTTCTATGTCAGCCTTGAAGAGAGTCATAAAGTCTCTTTTATGGGTTTCTCTCTAGCCTAGTTCTACTTTTTCAAATTAGAGGAGACAATATGACAATCTTAGCTAACTCTGATCTTACATCTTAATTTGCAAACTCAGCAGCAATATCAGTGCCCAAATTCAGTGGATATATTGCCGAGTTTAAACAATTTTCTATTGAACCGAAGTAAACGCCCTGTTTACAATTGTCTGCATATTGCTTTAGAGATCTCCTTCCCCCCAAATTTAATATGTTTTGATAATACATACTGTGGATATCTAAAATCTGCCTCAATGAACCTGTCTGCTAAATCCTCTACACAGATTTCAGATACGCAGCTGGCAGACTCAAACAATAAATTAACTGCACTGGAATTCTCTGAATCAAACAGCAAACATAGAGACTAGAAATACAGAATTCTGCTAAGCATTTTAAGATTTTTTTTTTCCTACTAAGTTTCTGAGGGCTGGCTGAGATTGCTTACATTTTCAATAACTATTAACTAAAGTCATTATGTCCAAAAAGATCTTATAGTACTCTGTATAATCTATTCCTTCACGTTTCCTGACATCATTTAATAAAATTCTTGAAGCTCCAGCATTCTGGTGCTGCTGCTGCTGTACCTTGGTCATGACCTGGAAGGACCACCCACTCCTGTAAAAAAGAGGGTAAGTCTGCCTCTATGGTAATTTGATTATTAGACCGCCTTTGAAGAAAAAGAATGTGTATCTTTCAGTTGGTTTCAGCCTGGGCTGAGCTGCTTCTGTGATGAAGGTTTTGCTCTGCAGAAGCCGTTCATAGCTGCGTGCATAAGGCAGAGGGTGTTTTGTGTGTATATGCGTAGAGAAGAAGGGAAACGTTATTGAGATTTTTGCTTATTTTCCATTTGAAGAAACCCCAGATATTTTGCTAGTTATATTTGAAAAATACCTAAGAAAAAAGCAAAAGTATTAATTTTAGCTAGACAGAACCTTTAGTTAATAATCAATCACTTGGAAGGGAAAAAAATAATATCCAGTGATATATAAATATAAATGTGTCAGTTAAAGATCTAAATCAGTTTATTTGCTATAAAAGAAAGACTTGTAACTGGGAAGCAAAAAAATGTATTAAGCCAACGAAAAAGAAATAAATTTATTGAAGTGATTTTGCAAATCACAGTTAATTGAGCCACAAACAAGGCAGCAAATAAAGGAAATAATGTGGTAATTGGAACCCTCATCCCTTATTGGCATACATTATGGGTTGCTATCTTTTAGCAGTATTAAATCATTGCACGCGAATGTTGCCAAAAAAACTCTTCATTTCCTTTTAGTGACTTCTTACTGCCCTCAGTCGAAGTTTAATAGAAAAGGAAGGACATGATGTAGTTTTAATGACAGGAAACCCATGGCTTCCAAATGAATAAATTCCATCACTGGCTGCCACAAAGTGTGCTAATTATTTCCTTTGATAAATTAAAAGCCGTAAAAGTCCAAAGTATATAGCATGTGGTTTACAGTTATAGTCTGCCTGTCTGCATTATTGAAAGTTCATATAAGCCTCATTATTTTAATTTAATAAACATTATAATTATTTTTTACACTAGTAGGCTCTATAGAAAGCATATGTTGAAGACAAATTTGTCTAACAGAAGGTTAAATAGCCCGCAAAGTGAATTAGCAAGGAACATGAAGTGTCATGTTGTGATAGCCTTTTTTTTAACATACTTTTGAATGAGCAGATGCTTGTATTTTTATTTCACTAAATAAGAAAGTAGCGAAAGATCTTACAGTACTCTGTATAATCTATTCCTTCACGTATCCTGACATCATTTAATAAAATACTTGAAGCTCCAGCATTCTTTTCTGTTGTCTTCTTTCTTTCTTTCTTTCTTTCTTTCTTTCTTTCTTTCTTTCTTTCTTTCTTTCTTTCTTTCTTTCTTTCTTTCTTTCTTTCTTTCTTTCTTTCTTTCTTTCTTTCTTTCTTTCTTTCTTTCTTTCTTTCTTTCTTTCTTTCTTTCTTTCTTTCTTCTCTCTCTTCTTTCTCTCTTTCTCTCTTTCTCTCTTTCTCTCTTTCTCTCTTTCTCTCTTTCTCTCTTTCTCTCTTTCTTTCTTTCTTTCTTTCTTTCTTTCTTTCTTTCTTTCTTTCTTTCTTTCTTTCTTTCTTTCTTTCTTTCTTTCTTTCTTTCTTTCTTTCTTTTCTTTCTTTTCTTTCTTTTCTTTCTTTTCTTTCTTTTCTTTCTTTTCTTTCTCTTCTTTTTCCTCCCTAAAAAACTGTCTCCAATGAGGACTTGAATATGACAATTATACTAATGAAATTCAGTCTGGATCCTGGGATTAGGCACTAAGCTTGGTCCAAAAAAACATGGAAGAATGAGAAGCAAAACCTTTGTTTACATGTTATGGAAGTTCATCTTGGATTATTATTTTTAAAAGTCTTAAAAAGCAAACACTTTACTGTCAGGTTAGCAGGGCAATCCAATGAAAGACCTCTGTTACAGTACCAAATCTTTTGTTACCTTTTGATCTAGTGCACCTGACTCCAAATGTAAACTGGTTCAAATAAACTTTTAAAATAAAATAATTTTTAAAAAAGAATTTAACTAGGCTGCATGACTAATTTTGCTAAATGCATTCATTCAGTAATGAGAACAGGAGGTTCTGGAGACACGAGAGAGGAATGACGTGCCAGAATAGAGGGTATGGGATCACACAGCAAATATCTGGAACCAGCAGGATGATG